GAGGATGAGCTACTAGCCTGAAGCTCAGGATAAGATTTGCTTTGCCTGTGGGCAGCTGCCAAGAAGTCGAGTGTCTGGATGTTACGTGCGCTGCTGCCACCGTTAAAGTGCAGCGGGGAACGGGGGTAGCTGAACAAAACCTGCCTTGAAAAATGACCATTTTGGTAAATCTCTACACACTGTACTAACGGCTGTGTAAAACTCACTGACTGTAGTTTCTGTGTTTGCTAATGCTACTTTAAGCACTGCAGAGATTAAAAAGATTAGAGACTGAGAAAATAGGGTTTAAGAGAGGACACAGAAGATAAAGCTTGGTTACCTGGATATTAGAACAGCAGGTCACTATGCTGTAAGTTGTGAAGTGGCAGTAACAGCATTTTTGTGGGGGCAAAAATCTTTTTTCCTTTAGCAAATTCTTAGGAAAATATGCTCACAGCATTGTTACCTGAAAAGTTTCTGAACAAAGAATGAGCCACAGGACAGTACAAGGGTGGCTCCTTGATCTTGTACCAAATTCTGCTATTGCTACTAACTGTGTCATTTCAGTTTTCTGTAACCATGTGGATTTCTGTTGGAATTATCCTAGGGATCTGGGTGGCCTTTTAATTATTTTGTGAGGAAAATACATGCAAAAGTGACCTTTTCTTAACATAAGCAAAAGGTTGACATAAATGTTGGAATCTGGGAGATCCTCCACCACCAAATCATAATAGTGACATTGAATGGTGAACAGAATGGGGCTGTAGGCAAAGGAAGGGACAGCATGTTTATAAGAGCAATAAGGACTGATTTCTAGGATCCTTGTTTTGTAGTGAGCCTGCTAAAAGCTAGGGAGAAGCTCGTTTCACTAATTCAGGGGAACTTATCCATAGGAATTTCCCTTTCAGCTATTGCATCAGACTGAATCTTTCATGTAGCTCTTTCTTCTTGAAAAAAGAGGGTTGTTACAAGCTATCCAAACGCCTTCTCCCATTTATCATTGCGATAAAAGTCTTCAGAGATCAGGTAGCAAGTTGTTTGGCACTTAAAAGGGAGAGGTCTCTGTCATTTCAGCATGTAAGTATCTGAGCAGAACTGCATGCAGACGGGATACTCTAATATCCTGTGAAGACAGTTTTTAATCAGCAGCCTCAAAAGACTGTTCTGTTAATGAGCAACTGAAACGTTGTTATAAAGCCAGGCAGCAGTCTGCATGTTTGACAGACTTCCTTACAGCTCTAGAGTACAGACCAATGTGAGTGGCCTACAGGCCTTGCAGTTATTGCCCAGGGATGAACTGGGGAAAAGAAAAGCTATTTGCAGTTTAATGAGCTGGATAACCTATAGATAATAATGATAATCAGACAGATGCCAGTGACCAGCTGGTACAAAAGTTATACAACTTAATGCCCAGTTTGATTTATGTAGTACAAAACGTTTCATTTGCAAAAAGAAAAAAAAGCCCTACTCTGCAAGAATGTATCATTTTTCCAGCCTGTGTTTTTGGGCTCCTTTGAATTTTGCTTGCGTGGCCAAGCTGAAGGCAATTCCTGGCAGCACTATTCTGGCACACTCATTAAGTTCAATACTATATCATCACTTTAAAAGTAGAGTGGATTGTAAATAAACAGCCAACATGATGACTCCACAGAAAGCAAACCCAGCACTAAAGAGCAGTTTAGCTGAAGGCAATTTCAATTGTTAATGCTTCCAGCGCGTGCTGTTTTCAGCAGTTTTGAAGGTCTTTCTCCTGAGCAGAGCAGTTCTGGTGCTCGGCTGCTGTGGCCAGTTCTGGGGGTTGTGTCAAAGTTCAATACAAGTCCCCTCTCCCAGACTATGCCTGATGTCACTGAGCGCGGCAGCGAGGCATGCTGCTGTGAGCTTTATTTCATAGGAAATATTTTATCTAGTTATATAATTGGAAATCCTCCTGATGTGACCATGCTTGGCTTGTATCAAGACTATCATTCAAATTCAGAACTGAAGCAATCCTGGTTTCTAGCATCACGCTCAACCCATGTCTATCCAGGGCTATGTGTTCATCAGGGATGTATCCGCATCGCTCTGATTCACGCTCCTCGCACAACAACTAAGTGGCATGTTTTGTAAAGAGGAAATATTAGTCTATAAGCAACTGGACACATCTGTGTATACTGGAACCAATTGCTTATAAGTAATCTCCTTTTAAAAGAGATTATTAAAATAAAAATAGTGCTTTCTGGGCGTTTACTAGCCAATGCTCTTTTTTATGTTTCTATATTCAGCTTAAACTGTTAGTACACCAATATTTGATTTTATTGTATTTTTAGCTGAGTAACATTTCTTAATTTAATCTTTTCTCTCTCTAATGACCTTTGGTGGATGCTGAATTTCAGATTGCATTTACATATGAGACACAGCTATTTTGTTAAGTAGGAGACATATTATGAGGATAATCAGTTTATCTTAAGCTGTAATTCTATGTCTAGCAAGGATTCAAATTTCTAGGATGCTAATGGCTTAGTGAAGTCTGGTAAAACGCCTTTGAGATAAATCCCAGCATAATGAGATCAGTTAGATCTAACTGTAAAATGGAAGAGATACTTAATTTTAATTTTAAAATGCACAGCTTGGATGTGCTTTGCTTTTTATTTTACAAGTTGACAGAGCTTTATCTAATCTTTTTTAAAAAAAAAATGCTGGAAATGGATGAATCGTTTGAATATGCATAAGCTAAAAAGGGCGAAACTAAGCTTAAAAAAAAAAAGAGAGAGAAGCAGTGAGCTTCATGTAAGGTTAGATTTGGGCAACATCTACTCCACAGAAACTAATTTGCCTCCAATGCAAATTACCTGTAGAAGAGATGGGCAAAATAACAGTAACAATAATAATTCAAACCATAGAATTCTGCAGCTACATATACAATGAAGGGGTCCCTGACAAGCTGAGTATCAGTCAGCTGGCTTCTTTGCCTTTAGCTTCATACTTTGACTAATGCATTAGCAGCAGTTTCATTTTAAAGTGTATGCAGTAGCGCACGCTTTTGCTTATCATTTCCATGCAGTTACAGTCCCTGTGAGAGAAACTGGACAGGCCTCTTTGCCTCTGTTTAAACACAAACCATACCTGGTGGCAGCGCAAACTTTTAAGACTGTCAGTACATTTTTATTTTGGCAGTAAGGGAGTAAAAAATTGCTTACATGCAAAAATATTTCAGAAAAAAAAAGGCTAATGGAATAAATTTAAAATATCTTTTTTCTTTTTCCCTGAAATTGCTCCATATTTTAGAGTCTGAGAAGGTAAAAAGGTAAATCATTGTGAATAACTTAAGCTTTACCCTCTGAGGCAGCTCAGGAGTTTTGTAACCCCAAGTTTACATGTGACTGATAACACTTAATGGGGGAAGGGAACAGCACTTCTGACAGCTCTTGTGAATTAATTCTGAGTTACAAGATCTCAGCAGTTGTAGGAGATGATACCTCTCATTGAGGTGGAAAGATGATCCTCTGCTCCCATCATTTCTGAGATTCAACGTGAAAGTGGAGCCCTAGGCAAGGGATGGAGACACTAAGGGTACCTTACACTACGCTCTTTTACAGCAAGCTTTACATATGAAAAACAAAAACCCAAAAACAACAACAACAAAAGGATGACTCCAGAAAGATGATACTAGATTACTAGATGCAGGGCTCAGGATCCAGGAGCATCTGCACCTGAGCATCTATCCGGAGCCCAGAGTTTTCTGTCTTTTGGGAAGAGAGCAACACCACAGAAGTCTCACATCACACACACTCAGCAGCAGTACTGAGATAGAAGCTGTCAGGAAGTTCTTGCCTGTGGTCTCAGTCAGAGGAGTTTCTGGCTTAGGAAGCTAATGGGATAAACCAATTCTTGTCCTCCCCTCATCATATGCAGTACAGATTTTTATTCTCTTTTGAAAAAGAATTTTTTTTCTTCATTCTGTGCAGCACCTGGCATGTTGTAGGGCTTAGGCAAATAATATAACTGTATCTCTGTTACCTTTTTGAGGAAATATTTGAATGATTAACCAAGTAAAGGACCCCAGGAACACAACAATAAAAAAATCCAGAAATATAACGATAGTACAGATTTATATACATACATGCATCTTAAACCATGCCTATAGGTTTGAGTGTGTTCTCAGGAACATTCTTTGGTGTTGCAATGAAACTGCTTGTATTAGCGCCCTTTTAGACCTTTCCCAGGCCAACCATCCGGCAGCTGCGAGCTCTACCCACCCGCGCTCACAAACTGAGGAACTGGCCAACGTTACGGCTCCTGGAACTACTAACAACGGTTTACTGAGAAGACTCCTCCAGTCGCACACTCTGCAAGGCAGACGTAGGAGCGCGGGGCGATTAAAACCTTGTCCCACTTTGCAATTAGTTTTTTACGATTATTCAGGCCTGAATTAGCTTGGTCTGAATGCGCCTTGAACGCGGAGTGCCCTGCTACCTGT